ACATATATATACATATACATATATATATACATATATACATATATATATACATATATACGTATATACATACATACATATATACATACATACATATATACATACATACATACATATATACACATACATACATATATACATATATACACATATGTACACATATACACACATATATACACATATATACACATACACATATACACATAAATACACACATATATACACATAAATACACACATATATACACACATATATACACATATATATACATATATACACATATACACATATACATATACATACACATATACATACATATACATACACATATACATACATATATATACATATATACATACATATATATACATACATATATATACACATATATATATACATATATATATACACATATATATACATATATATACATATATATACACATATATATATACACACATATATGTACATATATATACACACATATACACATATATATATATATACATATATATATATATACATATATACATACATACATATATATATATATACATATATATATACATATATATATACACATATATATACATATATATATATATACATATTTATATATATACACAAAATACTGAAAAACAACTATGATCTCAGTAGAGATACACATTTGATAATTTAGCAGCCAGAAATAGAACCAGAGCTTTCGGACAACACTAGTCCTTCCTCAGTGGCGAGTAAGTGAAGGTAGAAAAAGGCAGATAGTATAAAGCAAGGAGTCGTGCAAACATGATTAGAAACAATAGGCTAGGTTAGATGGAAGTAATAACCATAAACAAAGAGTGAATAAGATATACATAGTATAACATATCTCTCAACGAATGCTGTCCTATAAATATATAAATTGTGTAATAAAATTCCTCTGACGGGATTCGAACCTGCGACTGCTCGCTGTGAAGGTGAGCATCGTAACAATTAGACCACAAAGGCTTCGTGGTTGAACAGATTCAAATAACGTCAGGTACACTCTATTACACAATAGGTACGGCTGGAAACAAATAATAGCATGGCCTATAATATAAATCAAGATAGCCGTTAACACTGTTAAATTACATATAAATCATCAAAGAAAGTTAAATACAGTTATCGAATGTCCTTTATTCGAACACTGTATTTACCTTTCTCTGATGACATATATAATTTACCAGTGTTAATTACTATCTTGATTTATATTATATAGTATAACAAGTATATATATATATATATAATAAATATTCAAAGTTCTATAGGCCTGTCTCAAAATAAAATATTTATTGTACTAGTACTTTCGACCATAGGTCATCATCAAGTACTGATGATGATGATGACCTATGGTCAAAAGTATACAGTATGTACAATAAATCTGTCTATGCAGCAACTTTAATTTACCTTTACTAAGGTATAGATTTAACAATCTTCAGAAGGTTACTACTTAAAAAGCATGGATTTTCAAAAATGCTTTAAAGTAGTCACCTTTTGAAGAGAAATGCGGTTCGAAATATAATAAGTAGACAAAAAGATTATTATCATTCTTCAGACGGTGACTACCAGTGGCGGATCCAGGAACTTTAAATTGAGAGGGCCCAAAGAGGGACTTTCACAGATGAAGGGTCTCCACTACCAGCCCTACCATCCGGGTTTGTGGCTGAGGTTTGAAATATGCTTATGGCACCTCTAGATGGCCGGAAATGGCACTCTTAGACTCAAAATTTGAGTAGAATTTTCTTTTTTCTCATTTTTGTTTTAATTTTTTTTTTAATTAGGGGGAGGGGGCTGGGGGACTGGCTGACACTCCCCCCCCCCCCTTTGAATCCCCCCCCCCCTTTGAATCGCCACTGACCATTTTAAAGCAGTGATTTTATAAAATGCTTTAAAGTAGTCACTTTCTGAAGAATGTTAAATCCTTGCTTTAAAGTAGTCTCCTTCTGAAGGATGTTAAATCAATAATGCTTTAAAGTAGTCAACTTTTGAAGATGATGTTAAATCAGGGAACAGATACTGGCTAAATCCATTCTTAAATGTAGTCACCTGAAGAATGATATTTATTTTTGTCTTTACTTCGAACCTCTTTTCTATTATGACCAGCGAAGCTTATGACAAATGGTCATATTTTTCCATTATAACTAACGAACTCTTTTCTTGATTTTAGCCCACTCTCTGAGAGAGAGAGAGAGAGGGCTTGTATGATGATTCTGAGCGAATTTTGAAGTAATTTGTTTTTCTATCTCTTCCTTCGTTTGTGACGCGATTAGGCCGATCTTGCAATAATATGGAAGATAAGGCGTGGGGAATTTAAAGTATGAAGAGTTTTTGCGAAAATATTGTCGGGAAATATGTGAAAAGTATGGTTTTTTTTTTTTATCATATTTCTTAACACTACGTTGGGTTTCCTATGAAAGCGTGTTCGTCATTGATCAGATTGCCAATCGCCTGATTCCACATTGTGTTTATCAACCAATCACGGCCTGGAATGGTAAGCTTTGCGGCTAATAAATGCGTCTGCACGAGTTTTTGGCAGTGAAGAATGAGCCGTTTGGTGGTGCTTGCAAGGGTGGGTGGTCTCTCCCCTGAGAGATAACAATGTACACTACTGTAATGCTGGCTGAGCTAGAGAAAGACGAACTAGGCCTATAGGCTGGCTGGGTAGTACGTGTGTGTAATAGATCAGATAATAGGAAATGTAGACTACAAGTTGTTTTTATGTGTATTAAACCACATAATATTCAAATTAGTTAGTAGCGATGAGTGTATGTGTGCAGCAGATTTCGTGTCAATGTACTGTAATGCAGGCTGGCCTGACGAAGACGAATAGGCTGGCTGGGTACGTACGTGCGTGTAGGTATAGGCCCTAGCCTAGATCAGATACAGGAAATAAATGTAGGCTACAAGTTGCTTTTATGTGTATTAAACCACACAGTCAAATCAGTCAGTAGCGATGATTGTATGTACAGCACATTTCGTGTTGCCGCACTGTGGTGTGGTTGATGACGAGGACATCGCCGTTAGATACATGATAGCAAGCTCCCACATGGATTTTTTGTTCTATTGAGACTGTAACTTTTCAGCATTGCTCTAGGATGATTTTCCTTTACATTTATAAATTTTTTTAGCTTTTCGTACTCTACACTTAGCTATCCCTAGCCAACCACATAGGCCTATGTACGTAATATATTAGATCAGATGTTAATTACATAAAATGACAGTCGTATTTAATGGGGGCGGAGTGGATTTTTTTTTCGCGATTTACCATGGGATGGCATCTGTCATCGCTATCTAGACTTGTAGACGCCGTTGTCCATATGGTAATAAGGATCGTTATTGTCTGATAAGGCATGATTAAAAGTGCCTTTCATTTTCAATGGATTACATTCCATTCCAACGATGGTATAACCAGTCAATAGATAGCCCAGTA